GGCACCCGGCTGGCTCAGTTGGTAGAGCATGCAACTCTTGATCTCAGGGTCATGAGTTCGAGCCCCACGTTGGGCCTAGAGCTTACTCAAAGAAAGAGAAAAAGAAAACAAGAAAGCAGTGGATGCGCTTGGCCCTTGGTGGCTGCATACTCCTGGGAAGATTACCTAGCCTCACGGGGGTTGCTTCCTCACATGGAAAGCATGATGATACACATCTTTCAGGGTAGTTGGGAGGATGCATTGAGACAATGTCAAAAAGTCCAGAACGTAGTACATGTTCATTGTATGTAAGTTAAAGGGGAATCAGAATCTCTCTTGTTTTTCTCCTGGCAGCAGCCCCTTGACTAAACCAAGAAAGTGGAATGCCTGGCCCAACGTCTGACAACAGGAGGGTGATAGAGGAGGGCCTCCGGGGCTCTCTGAGGAGACCCTCTGGAGAACTGGCCAGCACAACAAAGGAGAAAGCTTACTCTCAAGGGGGAAGCCCCAAATACACAAGAGCATTTAAAAAAGTGAAACACGTTCATGGGTGACAGATTCATAATGGGATTATTGATTCAAACACACATCTTTCTCTCCCTTGCATCCCCCGCACCCCCTGCTCCCTCCAAAAATCATTGCTGACGGCTGGGTAGTGACTCAGGGAGGAGGCTAACGGGGAGAATGACTTGTCTGCAGCTGGTGCTAAAAATGACCAGCACCAGGGCAAAGGAGGGAGGTGGCCTCCTCCCTCGCCCGGGTCTCCCTCCTTGACCCTCAGTGTCTTATTTGTCACGAGAAGGACAGAATAGGTATCCTGTCAGAGAAGTTGAGTGGATCCAGTGTGGTGAGGGGTCTGGCCCCCATTCATAATAATAGTATGAGCCATGATGTATTGAGTGCCCAGGGTCAGGTACACACTCAGTGCTTTAAAAATATCACCTCCAGGGCACCTGGGTGGCTCAGATGGTTAAGCGTCTGCCTTCGGCTCAGGTCATGATCCCAGGGTCCTGGGATCGAGTCCCGCATCGGTCTCCCT